GTTCGCCTATACCCAGCAGTTGGTGTTGACGATATAAAGATGATGATGATGAAACTTCGTGTTCCCAAGATTTCACAACTGTCAAATTTGTTTTGGGCACCTTTTACATTAGGAGCATCGTAGAGACATCTGTTTAAAATCCTTTAAACTAATTTATTCATCTGTTTTCTCGACTGAGACAATAAGGATCGTATTTCAGAACTCTACTCAATGCTCAAGTCAGGACTTGAGTATGATTTCAAGCACTGGAAATACGACTCTAATGGCAGGGACTTGAGTATGCTTTCGAGTGCTTTAAATCATACTCAAGTCCTGACTTGAGCATTGAGTAGAGTTCTGGAATACGGCCCTAAATACCTCTTCCACCGGTGTTCCCCTTACACCAACAGACCCTATTGATTTTAACATAGTGTTTATTACCAATAACGTAATTTTGTGGGTAAGTGACAGGTTAATTTTCTGTACGTAATTTCGGTGGTAATTTCTGTTATTTAAATATTGCAGAACTTTATTATGAAGTAATTTAACATTCGAGTGTAACAACATCAAATATTAGTTAATTTTCGCGATAATTTACTCGAACACTTACATAATAAAGATTGCGACCAAAATTTGGCAGAGAAAACGTACCTCAAAATTACCCTTATGCAGTAACAAAATCATACCAAGTGTCTTGTACCCATAAAAAAACGTTACACCTGTATACAGTACTTCATTTTCGAATAAAAATGTACTATAATTTTATATACTGTTTTAGTTAACCTGCTATTGACGCTTCACTCTAGTAAGTAATGAAAAATGACCGTAATATGTTCAGACTACCACATATATAATTGCTACGCAACATTACTTTCTATATATGTACAGTTTTTTTTTTTTAATTCTTCTCATGCCACTCCAAGCAACAATCACATGAAACACTTAATGTGTGTAATACCTCTTTTTTACCTATAAATACTAATGTTTTACAGTCAATTTTGCTTCCGTTTGGAACGTATTCAATTCCAAATTTAATTTGAAATTTAGTTCCTTTATCGTTAACGGTTAGGTCTTCGGCTGCCCCTACTTCAACAAGACGTGTGTCTTGCTTAATAACTTCTAAAAATGACATGTATTTGTGATAGGCCATTTGAGCTGCACGTACAATATTTTCTTGGTTAGTATGCAATTTCTTAGAGGCTTGTGTCTGAAACAAATTTTATTATTTCAATCAAGTCTCGGGTCAGGTTTTGACGCCGTCATTTTTTTAAATGAAATAAAATAACGGTTTTAAGATTAAACAATTATGAGAATAATAGCAATAATAACGCACACACTCAACAAAGACCCGCACTAGGGAAACCTTGGGTCGCGGGTGCCATGGACACCTAGACAATCACAAATTACACCTAAACTCACGAGAGAAATAAATATTTCTCCCGGCCCGAGAATCGACCCTGGGACCTATGCCTGGGACCTCCGTGGCCAAACGGTTACAATGCCAGACTGCCACAGTCTGACACTGTAACCGTTTGGCCACGGAGGCAGTTATAATAATAATACGGCGGGGACTACCGTCTCTCCCACTAAAAAATTCAAAATTAATATTTTAAGATATCGATACTACATCAACGGGAACACAAATTATTGCCGTACTAAATCGGGTCGAGCGGGTCGGACACTGGCTTTATTTCAGAAATTTATTTTTTTACAAACGAAATTTATGGTCTATTTAGTTCAGTTGATATAAAAAAATCATTGGTAATGTCAAGTACCTATTGAAAATAGCGGTTTTCTTGTAAAATTTCGAGGTAAATTCGCGTTTTTTTTTTCTATCATGAAACGTTTTAGGAATCGTATCATACACATATACACATCATAAAGTGCCCAGTGTATATCCTCAACTTTACGGTATATGTTTTCCTAAACGGTTGATTCAACACTTTCATTGTTATGCGAAATCAACCAAAGCCATTCGAGGTTGTACCGACTCTTTAGCCAAAAGAGAGGCGGGCAACTCACGTATACATCCATAATTAGGCACAGGTCTCCACTCACAATGAGAGGGCTTAGGTTGTACACCCATGCGGTGCCAAAGCGGATTAGGAATTTCACATACATCATAAAATTGCTTTACAGATATGTGACATTTCCTCACGATGTTTTCGTTCTCGAAAAACCTAATGGTAATTTCAAATTAAATTTCGCAGTTATGACAAATAATAAGAATAATTGTAACTTGTTAGAATTATTAATACAAAGATCGAACAGTCAGAACAAAATTCCTTCGATTCGGCCGGATTCGAACGTTGCAGACGCTATACCAACCAAGCCACGGAACGTACCAGCGGACCTCACGATTTCTTTTTATGTGCTTGCGTCGTATCTTTACATTTGGTTTTTCAACGACAAAGGAGAATGCTACCTTGGCTCGACTATACTGATTTCCCTAATCACATGATAGTACTACCCTGTTGCATGCAGCACATCACTAGGTTTAAGAAAACAAACTCATAGAACGTAGCCGTTGGCATGATGTGTCATAAATACAAACTATCACAAGTGTAAAGCAGATATAAAATCAAATTATGTAATATTATTATTAAATTATCATATTATATAATAAAAATTAAATAAAAACATTGTTAGTATTCACAAAGGGTATAAATTATATAATTAATTATTAATAATAATAATTAATAAATAATTAATAATAATAATAATTAATAAATAATTAATAATAATAATAATTAATACATAATTAATAATAATAATAATTAATAATTAATTAATAATTAATTAATAATTAATTAATAATAATAATTAATCGTTTCCAACAATTATTTTTAAGTTACGGTCTGTCGCTGTTCATAGTTGTCAAAAAGTCTCCTTTTTTGAAATCCGTTTTGTTTTATAACATCAAGTGACGGGACGAACGAGTCGTACGCCTGATGGTAAGCGACACGCCTGTCCATAACAGTTACACGCCTAACAGTTACCTGAGACATAAGTTGACAGGTTCCATGTGCCTGTAATTTCACCAGCACCCTTACCCTTCAATCGGAACACAATAATGCTGACATTACCGCTTGGCGGCAGAAATAGGTAAGTTGGCAGTACTACCCTGGACGAACTCATTTACAAAGAGCTCTACTGCTACTGATTAAAAAAAGCAATTTACAACAAAATAGCATTGTAATAATATGAAGCAAAGCAAGGTGAAACATATCAAAAGGGTCTATGAGTCAGTATCTGAGACAACTATTGTCTCACTATCTCTCCGCAATCTTCGGATTTCTGAATCCAGGCGAATACAAATTTGTCATTAGATTCACACATCTATAATAATTTTAATTCAGAATCACGTACTTTGTTCTTATTTTGGTTGAATTTCCATGTGAACTATATAAAGCGGTATAAAACATACATTCCTTAAGAATATACCAAGCAAGTTAAGGCGAGGTATCACATCGCCAGCCTAGATTTAGAAGGTGAGGTACGAGGGGTCATGCACGCGCGTCCCGCAATCTAAAATTAATGTGATTAAAGGTCACCGCATACGTAACGTGATTTTTTGTTGATATCGTTACTCATAAAAACAGTATTCAAGTATAGGCGGTGGGCTAACATTTGGAAACGGGAATAAACGCGTTTACATATGAATAGGTATTTTTCACACCTACCTAGTTTCCTGACGTATCGGCCAGGTCACTGGCCGTGGTCACGGTCTGACTAGATACGGTGTTTACATCTCCATCTCGGCGGTTTAATCTTCATCCACCCGCATAACATTTTTAAATTCGTAATTTAATTTCGTATGTAAACGCGTTTATTCCAGTTTCCAAATGTTAGTATAATGCAACGCGAAAGTTTAAAAGTGTATATAGGCGATGGGAAAGGGATATGACGTGAAAAATATCGTTGTTGACGATATTTCGCCCGTCCCGTCCACGCCCCGTATACTGTACCCTTAAATAATAAGAACAGGCGGAGAAAATTTGACATAGATCTGACGGCGATGTTGACAAGCGGCGACTAATGGGGTATCGGGCGGTGCGGTGTGTCGTTAAACCGCTGGGCAATTTGCATGTTTTGGGATAAATGTGAATTTTATAACAATGAGCTTCAGTTGAAAGCCAAAATTTAGCAGGTTCTCTGAAGTACTTAAAGACAAATATCTCCATATAAAAACTATGTACAAAATTAGATATTTTGTTCTGAAATAATTTATTTCAAACAAAAAAAAATAAAAGTGATGTAAGTCTTACTTTGCTTAAAAGTATCACATTTAGTCATATCTTTCATTTTAAAATGAAGCAACTCCAATAATTGCACTAACATCCCGTAGATGGCATTACTAGTTTACTCAGAGAACTAAAATGACTACTCATTAATTTGCTAAAAGCTCATTATTTCAAAATTTCATTACAAGGACATAATTCACTTTTACAATGAACGACACATTTTACACTACACTTTTTTTTTCGTCCTGCTACTTTTTGTCGTGTACCTGCAACGATATCTACTGAAATCTTTGTGCGCCTGGTGTTAAGTGACATGCAGTTACAATGCCCTCAGAGCTTTGAATCTCAAAGATCTGAGGGGCACTGCCACTGTGCCGTCACTCTGAGACATAAGTTGACAAGTCCCATGTGCCTGTCATTTCACCAGCACCCTTACCCTTCAAAACCAGAACGCAATAATGGTCACATTACCGCTTGGCGGTAGAAATAGATGAGGTGGCAGTACTAACCTGGATAAACTCTTTCACAAGAAGCTCTACAGCTACTTAAAGGTATTGTAATACTGTGATAGTAATCAACATATATTTCATGCATTACGTCACATACTCTGGTATTTATTCTATGCAACGCCTAGCCATGTCAACATAACTTTATTTCCAAGATTACCCGTTTGTTTTAAGTACTCTAAAATAGTGCTTTAGTATTTTACTGAAAACCAGTTTATGTATATTACCATATCCTTATACCAATATTTACAAAACATGACAATTTTTTGCTTGCATGCAAATTAATTTTGAAAGAAATATTAACTACATAAATACAAAAAATATAAGAAATATTATATTCTAATTAACTAAAATCAACTTGCAAAACGGATTTTGGTTAAAAGATTTCGTTGCAGAGAATAAATAGCAATTATGTGCTATCTGGTACGTTACTCTTTGAAGTTTCTTAGGCATACTGATCCAAGCAACAATCACATGTAACATTTTGTACTTCGTAAGCTTTTTCAAGATTTTGCAGTACTGTTGTATCACATTCCATGATATCTTGATTAGGAATATAATCAATTTCAAAAGTAATTTTGAAATAAGTTCCTTTACTCTCAATGAACTCGCTTTCGGCTTTGTTTATTTCACCAAGGTTAAAATCTTCCTCATTTGCTTCTATATAGTCTATAAATTCGTCGAAGGCAAATTGAGTTGCAGTAACAACACGTTCTTCGACATTACGCAGTTTGTGAAAGCAGCCTTTATTACTCATTACTACACTTATGTCGTCATTATCCACATTGTGAATGTCATCTTTAGTTTTCTCTATACCATCCTCTTTAGTTATAGTCACGTTGCTAGTGTTGTTTTTATCACTTTCGTTTGTAAAGTCCATGTCGTTAAAGCCGATTGCATTACTTGTCTGAAACAATGTTTCTTTTTCAATTTATATAAAAGAATCACAAGGTTCAAAATGGAAGAAATCATTTCGTATTTATCGAATAAAGATATAAGTTATGTTACCCTATTTAGTACTTAATATGTTAACTGACCTTCTACTTCCATTCAAAAGTATATTAGTGTAGTCAGCAATGAAATATTTCGTACAATGTATTACATTTACAACGTGTACCCAAAAATGGTGATTTAGTGTTCTATTGAAAACTAGGTTATACGCATTGAACTACACTTATATCAATATTCAAAAACTGTTGATTTTGAACCAAGTCACATTATAGGCTAGTTTCCAATACCAATTAACATGCATGTACGTATAACTTACTAGTTGGACATACAGTTCATTATAGAATAAATATTTACTAAATTTTTATTTATATTGTCTATTTTGTTTATATTGAAGCAAGTTGCAACATGCATGTCGGCAGTAAAAACGTGCCTTAATAGCTGAGGAATATTATTTATTATTACATTTGTAACTTTTATGTCATCTTCGTTCCGGCAGCAATCACATGAAACATTTTTTACATCAAATCCTTGCACAAGATCTTCCAGTACTATTGCATTACAGTCCATTATATCTTCAGCGGGTATGTAAATAATTTCAAATTTAATTTTAAAGAGAGTTCCTTTATTCTCAACGTTCTCGTATTCAGCTTTGTTTATTTCACCAAGGTAAATGTCTTCCCGAATTCCTTCTAGAAATTTGGTGTATGCATTATAGGCAAATTGAACTGCAGTTATAACTCGTTGATCGCTTGTACTAACTATGTGAACGCCGTTTGTATTATCCTCCTGAAACAATGTTTCTTTTTTTTTCAATTGAGACAAATCACGGTTTCATGATTAAAGAAATCTGATTATGTTCTTTGAAATGATTTATGTTTTCTCGTTTAATATTAAAATCTTACCTAACCGTCTGTTTGCATTCATTAGAACTCAATATTCTGAAAGCTAATACTCTCTATTTAGCTTTTACGATAATCATCAGATTAATATTACATACTCTATGCAAACCCTTGATATTGCGATATATTATCTAGTATACTTTCGCAAACTAGTTTATACGCATTGTCGTGCCTTCAAACATATGAATATTTATAGATATGTCGATTTTTTTACCAAGTTTCTTAGTCAGCTAGTTTCCATTACCAAGTTACATGCATTTGAATATTACTTGTCACTTTGTATATAAAGTTAATCGTGCAATAAAAATTTACTAAAATTTTTGACATGGTGTGTGTCATTTTGAATTTAACGAAGCTAGTTGCAACCGCGCATGATGGTAATGAAAACATGTTATAGGTATAATTATTTCCTATAAAACAATATTTTCCATTACATTTGTAACTTTATTCTCCCGACAGCAATCACATGAAACATTTTTCACGTCGAATATTCTTTTAAGATTATCTAGTACTAATGTATCACAATCCATTATATCTCCAGCCGGTACATAAACAATTTCAAAATGGATTTTAAATAGTATTCCTTCATTCTCAATAATTTCTTGTTCAGCTTTGTTTATATCACCAAGGCGAAGGCGGAGCTCTTTCATGATTCCTTGTAGAAATTCTACGTATTCTTTATAGGCTGTTTGAACTGCAGCTACAACACGTTCTTCACTAATGCTCAGTTCCTGAAAGCCGCCTGTAAAATCCGTCTGAAACAATGTTTTGTTTTTCAATCAAAATATAAGGATCTGTGGTTCCCGGCGAAGATCATTTTCTATTTATTAAATAAGTAATTCATTTATTCTTTGTTACATTTAGAATTATAAAGCAATATAATTTAGATCACAATAATTAATTAACATTGAAAAGTGCATATAAATACAGTGAAGTTAAGCTGATACAATTTAATTTACAATTGACTGATCAAAATTGGATTGGAAGAGAAATGAAAAACAAAATAAAAGTAATCCTAACAAATGTTCGTAAATTATGTTATTATTATGCCAAAAACGTGATAAAAATTAGTTGAAGATATATCAAAAGCAGTTCGTTACTAGTAAGTGTTATAAAGACGAAACCCCTATGTGTCATGTCATGAAAGAATGTTTAAAAGTAATTGTTACCTGGTTTTGAATATCACTAAAAAATTCACCAATAATTGTATAATAAGTTTTAAGTATTACCAGATCTTTTAGTTTATAAATGATGATGTATTTTGTTGCCAGTGCCGCACGATAGGCGTTCAAATAAATAAAACTAAGTTGTGGTTTTGTAATGCCTGCAGTAAAACGTTCAGACACTTCTTAATTGGCAGGGATAGACACTTCTCCAGGAGGCGGCGCGAAGAACGTCAGTAGCGGCGGACATGGCGATCCGCCGAATACAACTGCTGGGGCGCGAGGTCACCGTGCCAAAGACGGATGTGGCCGTCTTCGGCGGGAGGGGCAGAGGTTGGGCGGTGCCGGCAGGCGCCCACATCTCTATCGCGGGAGTATCGGTCCCGGTCAGGTCCCAGATGAAATATCTGAGCCTTGTCCTGGACCGGCCATGGAACTTCGGGGATCATTTCCGGCAACTTGCTCCCCGAATAGTGGGCGCCGCATCGGCGTTGAGTCGGCTCCTGCCCAATCTCGGGAGACCGGGAGCCCCATGCAGAAGGCTATACACCGGGGTGACCCGGAGTATGGCCTTATACGGGGCTCCCATTTGGAGTGGGGCCTTATCAGTGGCGACGAAATCGCTGCTGAGGAGGCCTCAGAGGGTCGTCGCCCTGCGAATGTGCAGAGCGTGCATGACGGTGGCTTGCGCTGCCGCATGCGTTCTCGCCGGTACTCCGCCGTGGGACCTTGAAGCTGAGGCCCTGGCGGAGGTCCACGTCTACCGGCGAGGAATGAACTCCCCAAGAGGTCGATCGGGAACGCCGTCTCGCGGCGCAGCGCATGCGGGACCGGTGGAAAGAGGGCTTGGCGGATCCCCCTATGGAGCTCGTACCAAAGGAGCGATCCGTCCTGTCCTCGTAGAGTGGGAGAGCCGGTCCCACGGCTGCTGACCGGGCACGGCTGCTTCGGTCACTACCTGCACAAGGTGGCGAGGAGGGAACCGTCCCCGTCGTGCCACGAGTGTGGCGCTGCGGCGCTGCGGATGACACCGCGCAGCACACCCTAGAGGTGTGCAGCCGGTTGGATGAGCAGCGCCGTACTCTGACGGGAACAATAGGGCGGGACATCTCGCTGCCGGGCGTGGTTGCCGCCATACTCGGTAGCGAGGAGTCCTGGGAGGCAGTGGCCTCTTTTTATGGAGAGGTTATGTCGCAAAAGGAGGCTGCAGAGCGAGTGCGCGAGGACGCGACAGACGCGCACCCGCTTCTGCGCAGACGTACGGGGAGAAGGCGAAGGCAGTTCGCTGCTCGCCTGATCCCCTAGTGAGGCCAGCGGGCTCTGGACAGGGACTCCGGAGCCTACATTGCACGGCCTCACTCGTCTAGGGTGTTGTGTCGTACGGGTCGGAGGAGTTGACCTGCCCCTCCGTTGGCGCGGGAGCCCTGGCGCAAGCCAGGGCGGCCGGGCGGCGTCGTGGTGAATGTGCACCGACCCCACGTCGCCGACTCAAACGTGAAACGAAACAATGGGTTGCAGCACCAGTAGTGAAATGTTCTTAGCCCGTAATTATATTAAAGATTTTAATTGACATATCTAATCGGCCCGATCTATAGGTATATTTTGACATTTGGCATGGAAAATTGAAAAATTTGGATATTTTGTCATAAATTTAGCGGTTTCTATTATAATACAATTAACTAACGTGATGTTAGAACTTCGAAGCTCTTAAAATATAATTTACAGATGTCGGCATTCTTTATATACTCTCTCATCTTGCCCTTTTACCGGTCAGCTGTGAAATGCGGTAGAGTGCTACAGCTCTACTGAGAGCTCCTTGTGAAAGAGTTCGTCTAGGGAAGTGTTGCCACCTTACGTATTTCTGCATCTAAGCGGTAATGTGAGCATTACTGCGTTCCGGTTTTGAAGGGTAAAGGTGCTGGTGAAATTACAGGCACATGGGACTTGTCAACTTATGCCTCAGACCATTGCGTACAAAATCTCTGAGTGACACTGTAACTGTTATGAACAAGCGTATCACTTGCGCGCATGCCTTGTTCAGCCCGTCACTTGATACCTTGAAAAAATATCAATCAGAAAAAAATTCATATGAAGAAGAAGAAATTGTGAATGGCAATACACCGCCATGTATCTTAACTTTAAATTCGTTCCTTGTAGGTACCAGCTACCTGAGAAAAACCCTATCCACTTTACACCTCCTCTTACTACACGTTCTAATATTTCATACATTGCATTACATATTCCAACAACACTTCTATGTACACGTGTACATTATAATAATATAATTTTAGTTACGAAAGTGCGTGATTGTTTGAGTATTCTGAAATAGTCCATTTGAAAACTAGATTAGGTATTCGCTCTTACTCTTATAACAAACCAAGTTACTTGGTAAACGAGTTTCCATAAGCAAGTAACTTGCATGCAGTGTGACGTCGCAAGTTTAAAATTCTTTTCAATTTTTGATTTTCGATCGACGTAGATATAATATATCTCTTGTTATGGATTGTCGAAAATAACAAGATAATTTAATTTTCCCTGTAACCCAGGAGAATAAAAAATCTATAAATCTTCTTTCCTC